GGGAGGAGGGGGCCAGCTTTGCGCAGTGGCAGTATCGTAGCCAATGAGGTTAATCCGAGGCGCGATTATTGCTAATTGAAAACTTTTCCCAATACCCCGCCATGACGACTTGAAATATAGTCGGCATTGGCAATTTTTGACAGTCTCTACGGAGACTGAGTTTTGGTGTGAAAAACAGAGATAAACGAGACAAAAAAGCTGCAAGTCTTTTGTACCTTTGATAATTTGAAATTTGCGGCTGTGCCCGGCAGTCGCAGGCAGGCTGTAAGGATTAATTATTTAGAGGTAGAAGGTTTTTTCTTCTCGCTCTCTCAGGGCCGGCTCCTGCCAAAAGCATGGTCTAATAAATTAGTGGCACGTTTACCTAAAAAGCTCGGTTCTTGCCTTTTTCTTTCAAAGCTGCCGAAGGAGGAATTGGTCCGTGAAAATGGAAGAGGAGGACCTGGGGTACTGGAGAAGCGTTTCTCGCGTAGCTCTTGCCGAGGAGGATGCCTTGAGGAGCAGGACCTCTCAGAAGGTAGCTTAGGCAGCGAGGAGAGGGCTGGCATTTCTGGAGCGAGGGGGGTGAACATCTGCATCGTGCTGGCCTGGCTCCAGAGCCGCTCCAAAACCCATTAGGGAACAGCACAGTACCATAACCCGCATTTTGTGGGGGTTTGTTAGCGTATATCATATATAGTGTATATTATGGTGTGAATATAGTGTATATTATGGTGTGAATTTGGGGGTTGTCCTGTGCAGGGACAGGAGTTGGACTCAGTGATCCTTGTGGGTCCCTTCCAACTCAGGACATTTTATGATTCTATGATTCTATATCCATTGGCGTCACTTGCTTTAAAAAAAAAAAAAAGCTGCTTATAGTCAAAGGACTCACAAACCTTTACTCTGGAAAAAGCAGTTGCTGAGTTTGGTGTAAAATCCTCTTTTATAAGTGAAGTAAACTCCATTCATTTCTCAGTTACAGCTGTTGTCTTATTTAATACTGAAGTAGACGCTGTGGAGGGAGACTAATGTCCATTGCACACCAGCTCCCGGGGCTGAATCTCCGCTGGAGCTGAAGCAGCTGCCCTCTGTCACTTTGTGTGACTTAGATGGAGCTTGTGTTGCTGACAGGTTACCGCTGAAGTTCCCTGTCTGGTCGTGGGTGCCATCCGGATGCTCCTACCCTGCCTATGAGACCCCCAGCCTGGCAGCTATTTTAAACTATAAGCAGGCAGAGTAGGAAGCTTAGTAGCCAACATTAACGTTCCCTCTTTATCAATCAGGTTTATTTGTAACATTCAGCTGTGCTGGGGTATCGTACACAACAGTGACCAAAGAGTGACAGCGAAACCTCCTAGATTGCATTTTCCCCCGTTTGTACTTCGTTGCTAGCAATATCAATTTGAAATCAAAACCTGAAGCATAAGGATGCTATTTCCCTTTGGCAGAATAAGCCACGGGGATAAATACCAAAGGCATATGTAGTGTACAGTGAGTAACAGTAAAAAGTAATTACAGTTCATGTAATTGCTTGATTCATATAAACTGTGCTGATAAATATTGGGTTTATTGTTTGATTGTTTCTCGTCTCTTCTGCCCGAACTGTCTGTGATAATACGCTGGCGTGGTGCTTTCATTCTGCATTGCGAAGTCATATCCTGCATCTTATGCTAGCAACAAGGTTTGCTCGTTTTGCTGTAACAGGTCCCTCCAACAAGTGTAAAGTTGGACCTTGAATGGGGAAGTTGCGTGTTGAGATTTACTGCCATTGCCTTCGGCCTAAAGCTCTGCCCGAATTTGTCTTTTATGCATTCATCCGAAGAAAGAGCCGCATCCCCTTGCGTGATGTCCGTGTGGCGCAGCGCAGAGGACACACGCTGCAATGAAGTCATTGTCATCGCTCTGCGGTTTCAAGTCACTCTCTGCAAAGTGCATGGGTAAGCTCTAAACATGCCTTACAAGTCAGCGTAGCTTCATATCTGTTCTTCTCTGACATAGATTTAGCCTGCTGTAAATAACGGCGCTTTTCCTACGAGGTATGATGAAATGGGCTTGGCTGGCTCCTCTGTTTGGCAGCTGGTCCGAGGCTGCAGCCCCGAAGGGGACAGGTGGGCAGTTAATCCGTCTGGTCTCCGAGCGCCAGTGGGTTAGGCCACCCTTCTGGAGCTGGTCCTTAACTGGTAAACGCTGCTTTGACAAGAGGCAAAGATGCCTTGAGCGAGTACTGTGAACACTTGGGTTGTGTGGAGCCGGGAGGTCCTGAAGTCCAACATTAGGTTGATATTGACTCATTGTCTGACTTTCTTTCCAGCTCCCAGCTGTTTCCCGTCTGTACGTGGGGGCAATAACTTCTTGTCACACCTTCTGTGAAAGATAAGTCGAGTCATCACACGTCTTAGTCACAGGGCACGACGTGAGCGGAAGCCGCGTGTGTTTCTCTGATGCGCTCCCTCCTTCGCTCCCTAGCGCTTCCCATCCGGCACCAGCTCTGAGGGATGCAGCTGCTCGCAGCGTCGCTTCCCCCTCGGTCCCGCCAGCAGCCTGCGGGCACGCCTTGGGTGCGCCGCTCTGGTGGGAAAGCGTTTGCTGGAGGTGGCCATCGCTGGGGAGCTGCAGCTGCTTCTGCTGGCGGCTGGCAGCTGCATGAGAATGGCGCTTGAGCAGCAAGCGGGTGCTCCTGAGTCAGTAAGAGCCGCAGAGGCAGAGAGCAGGTAGCCGATGAGAAGACGGGAATTCCAGGGCGTTAGGAAGGACAGGAGAGGGTGAACGTTGTTTGGGTGAATTTAGCTTGAGCCCACACCACTGAGCAGTTGTCTTAGCAGCTTGGGTTTTAACCTGCCCCTGCGCCTTAGGCCATCATGGGAGGGTTAAGGACTGACAGTTGTAAGTAAGGAATGGTAGCGTGTGAAGGAGAATTCGGTTGTGGGCGGCACCTGGCTATGAGGAGTGCAATGAGGATGAGGTTGGTTTGAAAAGCCATGTTACTAGCGGATAGTGTCGCTCCTGTGACAGCCCTGCCTTTCCACCTCACCGGCCCTTTCGTAGCAGCGCTGAAGCCATAGGCAGAGCTTTAGAGGCGGTGATTTTTTTTTCTTTTTGCACCGAGCAGCCTGGACACAACCTCTTTCTCGCGGGCGCAACCTTAATGGGTGCTGTGACACGTGAATTTCAGCCCTGGGACAGAATAGAAACTGCCTGCTTGATTTGCGCTCGCTTCCAGGCTCCCCAAGGACGCTGTAGGAATCCGAAGATAACAATTGCGCACCAGGCCACAATACGAACAGAGCACAGTGCGTGCTTTATTTATGCAGAGGTAAAAATACAACCCAAGTCGAGACAGCTGCCTGTCACGTGTCGCTAGAAGGAGCATACAGGTTGCAGGCGAGGACGGGTTTCTGACGACCTGAGGTCCACGACGCTGCCAGCAAACGGGGCTGCGGTGGTTTGTGCGGCTCCACCTGCGGGGCACATCCTGAAGCCGGCCTGCACAGCCAGTGATAGGTTTTGAGAAGCGTAACCCTCCCTTCAAATAATGCTTTAAATTTTGCTCAGGGACCAGCAAGGGGGTTGCCAAGGGAGATCCATGGCGTTGATGGTGAAGCACACGGTGAAAGTCTTTGCTTGTAATTGTATTGTACTTAGCTGCAGGTAAGGATGTCGTTTTCTGAGAAGTCTGGAGTAAAACCGGGGATGAATTTCCTGGAGGCTGTTGATATTCGCGAGCGTTGGCTGGGGGCAAGGGAAGGGGATATTTCCATGACCCCCTGGTGATTATTGTGCTCATTATAGCGCTTCTTAACGCAGGAAATAACGATGTCTGTGGAATTGTGTTAGCTGGGGAAACTGGGTGTGTTTGTGCCTAGGGAGTGAAAAATAAAGCGTCGGAGATTGCTAGCGGCTGACCTCATGTTCTCTGTTTTTATGAAAACGCGATCCTGTAACCTAGGCTAGACAACAGGACCCGTGCTCTTCAGCGCCGAGAACAGTCTCTGACTCGGCCGTGATTTTGTACGGAAAAGCGCGGCAGGAGTCGCGTTTCCTGGATCCCTAGCTGCTCCCGCTCTGGTGGTTTTTGGTGCCTCCCTCGCCAGACTGGGAGCTGAACGCTTGGGCTGAGCGACTGTTTTTATTGCCGCGTCTCCTTGGCCGGAGCGTGGTGGTGGAGTAAACGCGAGCTCTGATGAGGGTGGAGCTGCTTTGCGGTTTGGGCAAGGCTGAGGACTTTGCTGTCTTGGAGCGTGGTTTGGTAGTGGTTTGAAAGGAAAAACAAGTGGGAAATGGTGGTTCGAGACGCACTCTCACATGATAAATCCAGGAGGGCTGTTATGGTTTTGAAACAGGGCAAAGGAGAAGTGGTTGGTGGCTTTCCTCTGTGGTGGCAGCAGCTTGTGGAAAATTGTTCAGGAAAGGTTTCACCGGCCCGAGCTTCCCTGCGGATCGGGTAAAGCACCTGGGGCTCGAAACGTGGGTTTGGTCCAAGGCCTTTGGGGCCCGGGGCGGCAGCGGGCAGGGCTCCCCGCGGGCGGCGGCAGGGCCTGGCGCGGCGGCAGCGCTGCCCCGGG